TGAGGCTCATTTGTGACAAGTGAAGTTCATCTGTAACTAAAGCTGTTTTATATATGCAAGGAAATAAATCTGAGTTGAAGTAAACAATGAATATTTGCAGCAGAGGTGAAAACATGCAGTAATTTAGCCTCAGACCTGCGTCTTTATTGTCACTGTAGCCAAGAATAGAATCAGCAGTGGAACATCTGAAGCATAGTAATGGTTTATTTAATTAGAACCAATCTGCTGTCGGAGAGCGACTCAGGAATGACGTCCAAGTGTTCTGTCACAGCAGCAGCGGCAGCAGCAGCATTAGGAAGGTGTGTGAATATTAAAAGGTAGCAGTGATGAATCACGCTGTCACCACAGTGAAAAACTGACAAAAGTGCGTTAAAATGTCAATGTATTAATGTAAAACCAATGTGCAGTGGTTTTAGCTCACAATGTATGGAACTGCTGGTCAACTGCTGCCTCCTGTGGTGATTTTGTGTCACTGGTGTGAAGTAACAAAATAACACGTTTGATCTTTGATGCAGACAGCAGTGGATCTACAGCTGCTGAGTCTGTGTGCTGAGCTAAAATCACTGATTTTCTCTATGGACTTTGGTCTGAGCTAAAATCACTGATTTTCTCTGTGGACTTTGGTCTGAACTAAAATCACTGATTTTCTCTGTGGACTTTGGTCTGAACTAAAATCACTGATTTTCTCTGTGGACTTTGGTCTGAACTAAAATCACTGATTTTCTCTGTGGACTTTGGTCTGAACTAAAATCACTGATTTTCTCTGTGGACTTTGGTCTGAACTAAAATCACTGATTTTCTCTGTGGACTTTGGTGTTGGAGAATGAGGGTTTTCTAGGGTGTAAGGTCTACAGTGATGGACCTTAGTCACTCTGGTTTTGGCTGTGAAGCTCCATCTACGGCTCCCCGTTTAGGTCTGAATAATTCAGATGGATATGCCCTGCAGCTGTTGCTGGTCCACACACACTTTCACACACTTTCACACACAGGAAGTTCCTCTTGAGGTTTCTACAAATTTCCACTCAGTACATGATGTGGAAAAGATTAGAGGAGCTCTCCAGACACTGTGGAAGTGTGGGCTCTCTGCTATGCAAATATGATGAAAACTCTCCAGTGACAAGTGTGTGAGGGTGTGTGTGTGTGAGGGTGTGTGTGTGTGTGTGTGAGGGTGTGTGTGTGTGTGTGTGTTCAGAGAGGCAGAAAGCAGTGAAATCTATTTCTATCAGAGTGAAGTGGAGGAGGAGATGATGGAGGAGCTGCTCCTCTGTCCTACTCCTGATGAGAACCAGAACTTCACCTTTGATTTGGATGAAAAACAAACAGAACATCTTTCCTCCTTCAGAGGACTGGGAGTTCAGGTGTCTGAGACTGGGTTCTTCTGGACTCAGATGTTGACCCTGACTGGTTCTAACATCTTGGTGTTGTGTGAGGTGTGTGTGCGCCTCCGTACCTCCTCCATCAGCTGCTCCTCATGCCGACACTCCCATTACGGCTTCCGCAGGCTGAAAATGTCTGCTCCATTTCTCACTCTGTAAAATCCTCTGATAAAAAAAAACCCTTTTTCTTCGTCTAATTTAACGCTGTCAAGACTTGAAAAAAAAAGATGGATTCAGGATGGAGCATCTGGAATCACAGCAGAGTCTGTTCTCTCTCTCTGGGTCTGCAGGACTTCAGTCAAAGTGGTTTTAGAATCACTGTTGTGTACGACGCGTCAGGACTGAGGACAAAAACCTCAACATCTGACGGTGTTTACAGTCAGACCTTATACTAAAACAGAAATAAGAGGAACCAGTAACACACATGAACACAGGAACAACACACGCACACACACACTGGTGCTGGGTGGTGGAGTCGTGTCAGTTCCACCTCAGAGACCCGTGAAGGCCAATGGTGAAGCTGCTGTGACTGCTGCTGCTGCTGAATACAGATGCTGCTACTGTACATCTGTGAGAGTACACACAGTACCTGTGTATGCAATACATGTATGTGTTTGTGTGTGTGTGTGTGAAAACCAGCAGTGGATGAGAATTTTAAAATAAAAATTGAACTGTTTTTTTTCTAATGATTTAACCCTTGTGTAATGTTCATATTGTTGTTACTCAGCCAGTGTCTGTGGGTCTGATGGACCCGTTGCATTTTGTGGCTTTTGATGCCTCACAATCAACACTTTTATGTTAAAATACTGAACAGATGTTTACCTTATCCCAATTACAAGCAGTATAAACAATATATAT